ATCTCTTGACCTCGTGATCCACCCGCCTCGGCCTCCCAAAGTGCTGGGATTACAGGCGTGAGCCACCGCGCCCGGCCTAATTTTTGTATTTTTAAAAAATATTTTAAAATACAGGGCTAGCTGATTTGGCAGGTGAGTTGTTACACACTCCTTACAGATTCCGACTTCCATGGCCACCGTCCTGTAATTTTTGTATTTTATAGTAGAGACAGGATTTCACCATGTTGGCCAGGATGGTCTCGAACTCTTGTCCTCAGGTGATCTGCCTGTCTTGGCCTCCCAAAGTGCTGGGATTACAGTCATGAGCCACCACACCTGGCCTGAGCATTCATTTGTAAAATGAATTATCCAGTTTATTTTTTTTTCTGTTTATATCCTCCCCTCCTCCAACTCCCTGCTGCCCCTCAGATGGAGTCTCACTCTGTCGCCCAGGCTGGAGTGCAGTGGCACAGTCTTGGCTCACTACAGCCTCTGCCTCCAGGGTTCAAACGATTCTCCTGCCTCAGCCTCCCGAGTAGCTGGGATTATAGGTGTGCGCCACCATGCCCAGCTAATTTTTCTGTTTTTTTTAAATTTTTTTAATTTTTTTGTTTTTGAGATGGAGTCTTGCTCTGTCGCCCAAGCTGGGGTGCAGTGGTGCGATCTTGGCTCACTGCAACCTCTGCCTCCAGGGTTCAAGCGATTCTTCTGTCTCAGCCTCCCAAGTAGCTGGGACTATGGGTGTGAGCCACCATGCCAGCTAATTTTTGTTTTTGTTTTTTGAGATGGATTCTCCCTCTGTCACCCAGGATGGAGTGCAGTGATGCAATCTCTGCTCACTGCAGTCTCTGCCTCCTGGGTTCAGGTGATTCTCCTGCCTCAGCCTCCTGAGTAACTGGGATTACAGGTGTGCACCACTGGCTAATTTTTTTTGTATTTTTAGTAGAGATGAGGTTTCACCATGTTGGTCTGTCTGGTCCTGAACTCCTGATCTCCTGATCCACCCACCTTGGCCTCCCAAAGTGCTGGGATTACAGGCATGAGCCACCGTGCCTGGCCTGATTTTTATATTTTTAGTAGAGATAGGGTTACACCATGTTGGCCAGGCTGGTCTTGAACTCCTGACCTCAAGTGATCCACCTGCCTCGGCCTCCCAAACTGCTGGGATTACAGGTGTGAATCACCATGCCTGGCCCTTGTTTGTTTTTAGAGACAGAATCTCACTTTGTTGCTCAGGATGAACTCAAACTCCAGGGCTCAAACAATGCTCCTGTCTCAGCTTCCAGAGTAGCTGGGACTACAGGTGCACACCACCACACCCAGCTGTTTATATCTTTCTATCAAAATATTGGAGGTCTCTCAGTTATAAGAGTTCTCTTAGAGGTCTCATTTTCTTCCACTGTAAGCAGAAGCTCACTACATCTCAAGGCAACTTATTCTGGGACGAGTTTTGCTCAAGCCTACAACTAAGAACAAGCTGCCTTCTTATTGGTCTTTTAGACCCATTTCCAGTCTTCCCATCTACCTGCTACACATCCTAATACCTTCAGGTGGGGCTCTTGTGAGATGAACTGCAGATCCAGCACTCTCCTGGCTGGCCAGCCTGCTGCTCTGTGTCCTCCTGTTTTTTCACTGAGATGTAATTCACATATCACAAAATTCACCTTTCAAAGTGTACAATTCAGTGGTTTTTAGTATATTCAGAGTTGTGCAACCATCGCCGTTACCTAATACCACAGTGTTTTCATCACCGCCCACCCAAATCCCTACCCAGCAGCAGCCAATCTTTATTCTCCCCTTTATGCAGCCCCTGGCAATCACTAAGCTACATGCTAATCTCTGTGGATTTGCTGATTTTGGACACTTCATGTAAATAAAATCATACAATATGTGGTCTTCTATGTCTGGTTTTTCATAAGGTCATCCATGTCATAGACAGATCGGTACTTCCTTCAGTGGCTGAATAACACTCCGTTGTATGGATATCCATTAATCAGTTGCTGGGCATTTGAATCGCTTACACTTTTGATGGACATTTCAGTTGCACACAAATGCCGTGAATGTTTGTGTATGTGTCTTTGTGTGAACATATGTTTTCAGTTCTCTTGGATGTATACTCAGGAGTAGAATTGCTAGGTCCTATGGTAACTGTTTAACTTTTTAGAGGAACTGTTAGACTTCCATTTTCCTTAATCACTAGCAGTGTGTGAGGGTTCCAGCTTCTCCCCATTCTAGCCAACACTTGTTATTGTCCTTTGGACTACTGCCATTCCAGTGGGTTGGAAGCAGTATCTCATTGTGGTTTTGACTTGCATTTCCCTGATGACTTATGGTTTTGAGCGTCTTTTTGTATGCTTTTTGGTCATTTGCATATTATCTTTGGAGAAATATCTATGAAAATCCTTTGCCCATTGAAAAAATTGTCTTCTTTTTTGATTGTTAAGGGTAAGTTTTTTTTTTTTTTTTT